CTTGTATTTTTAGTTATTATAAGAAATAAGAAAAATAAAAGCAACTGTCTTAAAATAAGTTTGTTGTTACTGATAATGGCTTCCACATTTTGATTGTCCTGCGGTCCCCACAACTGAAAATCCCGTCCTGGTGGTATCTATTTACAGACTCAGACACATCATCAGTTAATGGAGATTCACAGCAAGAATATCCGGGAAGCATGCTACAATAAACACTGTTCAGAAATGGTGCAACTGCATGTAGCCACACAGTTGTAGTTAGTGATTGAAGTTGAGGAAGAAAATATTGCATTACATGCAGAACAATAATTAACAATTTAGGAAATTAAAGAGCAGCATAACATTTCCTGTGAATTAGTTGTACTATTATTTTGAATTGCTTCATTTTTGGTCCGTTACACTATCAATCACAAAGTCAATAGAAATTCCGTCGAGTGTAACAATGTTTTTAGGTCACTTCTTTATCACATTTGCCTTACATGTTTCGGTTTAATAAAACCATCATCAGAGGCACATATTACAAACACATGAAAACACTGGCGTTGTTTAAATGTACACAGTATATATGCTGCGTGGACGCTGCTACAAATGTCGAAGTGTAAAAGCACAACACTTGCTAGGAATATTGAATGCACGTTCAACTCTCGCATTCCATCCGAAATTGCCCTCAAATTAAACCGTCAATGTTAAAATATTTAAAAGTTTAAAACATTTGAAGTAAAATGTTAGGCTCCTCCTTGTTAATTCATCCCGATGATGGGAGATGTCAGCTTGAGGTTGTATAGGCTGCAAAGATATTGTATTACATTAGGTTTTATATATTATTATATATTTAATTTATTTTTGTTTAGTGTTGTATTTGATCCTTGCTTACCTTATGGTCAGATGTTTCCTATGCGTTGTGTGTTGTGTACTGCAGTGGGAGTTCTACGTCAGTGTTATTTAAAGCCTTGTGTGTTATGACGTGGTCGGGGGTGTGTTTATACAAGTAGTAATGAGGTCGAACATGCTGTTCTGGTTATTGATCTCTTTTGCCTGTTTCTGCTCATCTATTAATTTGTATCCTTATAGTGGCGGTAAACAATAAATCTTGCCATCCCAAAGAACAAAAATTGGCAACATACAAAAATTGGCTACATAAATTATCCATCCTACCTATGGATAACGCAGCAAAAAATAAAGAATTAAACATAATTATTAACATTGCGGAAAACAATGGATACAATAAAGAACTCATCACACGAATGTATCATAAACTTCAACAACAAAAAACAAATGTCCCCATTGAAAGAAGAGAACAGAAATGGGTATCCTACACATATAACGGAAGCTACACAAGAAAAATTACGAAACTATTAAAAAACACGAACGTAAGAATAGCTTTTAAAGTAGATCATACATTAGGTAAAATACTAAACCACAAACAAAGCATAAATTCTTACGAACAAAGCGGCATATACAAATTGACCTGCCAGGAGTGCCAACAAGTGTATATAGGTCAAACAGGCAGAAAATTGGTAACACGCTATAATGAACATATAAGAAGTATAAGATTCAATAAAAACGACTCCGCCTATGCTCAACATATCTTAAATAGACAACATCAATACGGCCCAATTTCGCAAATAATGGAACTGATTGAAGTAGCAAAGAAAGGTAAATTAATGAATATAAAGGAAGAATATCAAATTTACCGCCACTATAAGGATAACAAATTAATAGATGAGCAGAAACAGGCAAAAGAGATCAATAACCAGAACAGCATGTTCGACCTCATTACTACTTGTATAAACACACCCCCGACCACGTCATAACACACAAGGCTTTAAATAACACTGACGTAGAACTCCCACTGC